AGTTACTGGGAATGATGGCTTCCATGATTTCAGTAGTACCACTCAGGCTGTTAAAAATGCGCCGTTTTCAGCGTTGGTCTCAGTCCCACAAGCTGTGTCCATCTCGACACAGACACAAAAAGTTAACAATAACTGCTTCCTGCATGACRGCTCTCAGCCCCTGGAGGGAACCCGGCCTCCTGTATCAGGGTTCTCCAATAGGGAGAGTGTCGTTTCGCAAAGTGGTGTCCACAGACGCCTCTCTGAAAAGGTTGGGGAGCCCTGTGCGACGGCGCGGCGGTGAGGGGAACCTGGACTCCACAACAGTCCAGGCTCCACATAAACTGTCTAGAATTGTTAGCAGTCCTGTTAGCACTGAAACATTTTTGTCCAGTTCTGGAGAACCATCATCTTCTCATCAGAATGGACAACACAGCAGTGGTCTCCTAAATAAATAGACAAGGGGGGACTCGGTTCCTTCCTCTGCTGAACCTGTCTTACACTCTTTTACAGTGGAGCAGTGTTCATTTTCTGTCTATCAGAGCCATTCATGTTCCGGGGAGACTGAACCTAGGTCCAGATCTTCTCTCCACGGGCGGACCTCTAGCAAAGGAGTGGAGGCTGCATCCCACTGTGGTGGCCCAGATTTGGGTTTTGTTTGGCAAAGCGATAGTAGATCTGTTTGCCTCCAGAGCGAACACACACTGTTCTCTGTTCTTTTCCATGACAGGGCAGAGCGCTCCTCTGGAAGTGGACGCCCTAGCTCATCCTTGGCCCAATGTACTTCTGTATGCGTTTTCCCCCAGTGGAAACGATACCACTTGTACTAGAGAGGGTGCACGGACAGAGCCTGTCTTTGATCCTAGTGGCACCCCGCTGGCCAGCGAAGTCTTGGTACACCGAGATAATCAGCTTGCTAGCAGCTCAACCCTGGCAACTTCCGGTTCGACGAGATCTCCTCTCTCAGGCAGAGAGGGAGATTTTTCACCCACACACAGAACCATGGAAGCTGCATGCTTACCTGCTGAAAGGTCCTGCTTATTAGCCAAAGGCCTTCCTCCAGCAGTAATATCAACTATCCAAAACGCAAGAGCTTCATCCACTAGAGGATTATATTCCTCTAAGTGG